GGTCGACTGCCGGCTCTCTTGCCTCTATTGGCTGGTGCATTGGTGGGTTTTCATCGAATGATATGAGATCGCCCTTTGGAACTGGTAATTGATTTTGCTCTGGTGTAGCGTTTTCTGCATGAGATGCATTTTGCGCTTGTGTTAGTTGTAAGAAAGCTTGACATGGTCTGGATCGTGTTAAATCCATGTGCTTATTCAGATCACGAGTTTTACCTGTTCTTGGAGTGAATCCACAACCTGGACATTTACCTACCATTGTAATATATATTTGTATTCCGTGTTTTTTATTATTATAACCAGATCTTTCGTTTAAATAAAAAATAGTTATTCATTTATAGAAATTTATCGAAATGTTTATTGATTATATCGAAAAGCTGGGTAAATATTTCGAAAAGCCAGGTAAGTATATCGAAAAGCAGGGTAAATATATATGTGAATATATACATAACTCTGGAGAAGTCTGTGGTCGTGGGTGTCGGCGTCCTGAAGGATGTCATGAACATTGGAAAGCAAAAAAACGTGTTTTATGTAATGATTGTGGAAAGCCTACAGCTTCTGCTTGTGGACGTTGCAAAAAACATGCTAAAGGGTATTATGTTATGCAGTTCTATACTCGAAAACTAAACCTGTAATAAAAAAAACACTTTCGTGTACCTAAAAAAATTCACTATCTGTGTATTATGGAGCAATGACCCAAAGGGTCTACCTAAAAATTATTGTGAAGCAGGCCCTATAGGGGTGACTCTTCGAGTCATGGGCTCTGCTCTTATCTATCTTTTTTATCAATAAAAATCCTATGGAATACTATTATGCTTCACATCTGCGTCGCATTCACTTAAAAGTTCATGCTCCTTAGTATTAGATAGCTATTTATTATTGTGAAGCAGGCTCTATAGGGGCGACTCTTCGAGTTATGGGCTCTGCCCTTATCAAAAATTTTATCGACATTCGAGCGTGGCCAGAAAAAAAAATACACCGAGTGTGTATGCGTAGTATGAGCAAGGCTCTACCTAAAAAGTTTAAGTATCTTAATACTATTATATTACTTAAAATAACTAAATAGTAAACAAATAAGCTTTCTATGCTCCGCTACGCTCCGCATCTGGAGTCGCTACGCTCCTCCAAGATAGAAAGCCAAATAGAAATCAAATAAGATAACTATGCTCCGCTTCGCTCTGCTACTGCGTCGCACACACCTTAGGTGTATGCTCCTTAGTGTTAGAAAGCTAATTAGTAATCAAATTAGATAGAGAAAAAATACACAAAGGGTGTTATATAGTTAAAAAATACACCATTCATATGTGAAATATAAGTTA